ACAGGCCCCTGGACGTGATTTCATCGAAGACTTGCTTGGGATCAGTGTGCAAACCGAGGGGAGGACATGCATGTTTATGACCGTCAGGAACGGCGTTCAACTCTGCTTCATCAGTCGCGACAAAGGCGTAGAGAATTGAGCCGCACACCAAAACAGTGACCTCGCGGAGGGTTCTGGCAGCCTCCAGCGGTCCAGAGTCCCATGTTTCACTCGAAGATCGAGCCATCAAGGAACATATCCCCAGTGAGCCGATCAGGGGACCCGTGGACCCAGAGCAGAGGAGGGAGGTCCAGCAAGTGGTGACGCTCCACGAGCGGCATCGGCAGTCATCATCTTTCGGCGAGCAGTTGCTGTAGGCCACTGTTGCGGGCGGCTCCTCCGAGAGACTGACATAACACGTGCTGCGCATCAAGCTTCAAAGCGTGCCCTGCGCATGTGCTACGCCTGTGCAATAGCGTACTGACTCTCATGCTGCCCGCGGCTCGGCATTCTATGCAATATGGCTCAACAGGGTACCCAGCCTTCCACTGTCTCGCCATTGGCCACTGGGCTCCGATCGCACACAAATGTACGTAGGAACGATGCTGCGGTAAAGCCTTGGAGCGCAAACAGGAGAGGATAGGAGCGAGGAACACACCGGTACTAAACCGAACTCGGATTCAACATGCTCGGCTATCTTGGCGAATTGCCAAGGATAAACAGCTCGCCAGACGTGCTGCTGCACTGCAGAGCGAGGTCACATGCTTTGGTGAGTTGCAGTTTGCAAGACGATGTCGTCCTAGTACGGTTGCTCTCTCTGCGGTGTGATCTCGTCGTCTCGCCTCCATGGTCTGGTGAATGCCTGCTTTGAGACTTTGCCAGGTTGGGCCAGGAAGACCCGGGCCAGGCTCGGACGAGACGAAGACAGACACACGGCAGCGGGCACTTCTCAAATTCTCAGAGTGCTGGTCACAGGACCCGTGCCGTAACTTGTTCGGCGTTTCGCCTTTTCGGTTTCTCGTCGGGGACTCTTAGGCGCGCAATGTCTTGCGTAGGAGGAGGAGGGACAGGAGGAGGAGGAGTAGGAGTAGGAGGAGAAAGAGGAAGGCGAGTTGGAGAAGGAGGAGTAGAAGGACGAGGAGGGACAGGAGCAGAAAGAGGAGGAGGAGAAGGAGGAGGAGAAGAGGGAGGAGGAGGAGGAGGACCAGGAGGAGGAGGAGGACCAGGAGGAGGAGGAGGAGGAGAAGAGGGAGGAGGAGGAGGAGGAGGAGGAGGAGGAGGAGGAGGAGGAGGAGGAGCAGGGGGAGGAGGAGGAGGAGGAGGAGGAGGAGTAGGAGGAGGAGGAGCAGGGGGAGGGGGAGAGCGGCGGGGTTCGGTAGCAACTGCGTCTTTAGAGTGCACGAGCGTCGAGTAGCGTCTGGCAATCGATTGGATAGCGCCGATTGAGCGCCGATGCGGGTCGATTCGCGTTGTTCTAGCGTCGATTCGCGTCGATTCGTGTCGATTTCGTGTCGATTGGCGTCGGTTCGCAAGATCCAACAAGATGGCACGGGAGGCCCCCATGAGGGGGGGGGCCAGCGCGGCGCACACCAAACGGGACATCAGAGGAGGGTAAGGTGCCCCATGCCGCCACCAGTCCCTCGCCTGCCTCCTCCCAGGCCTCCCGTGGGGCCCTCGTCGCCACGGCTGGATCCGCTTCGAAATCCTGGCCAGAGCTCGCCCCCGGATAGGTCCAGGGGAACAGCGGCATCGGTAGCATGTTGGGATCTTCATCGGGTGGGCAGGGTTCAGGCGATCGCAAACATGGGTCAAGCGGGCGTGGATTAGCGACGGGCCCCGTTTCCATGGGAAATCGCGGATTTCCGCCGCCGAGCGACGAGGCGGCGCTGGCCGCATTTTGGGGAGGGCACCTCCCCCGATCCATGGATTTGGCGACCGCGCGCCAAATCCATGGATCGCCAATGCGTGCTTGCGCGCCCCCGAAGGGTGGCGCGCACCACGCAAGAGTTATGATGTTCCAACCTACTTTAGCCTTGATCACCGGAAAGAATTTCGAGCACCAGAAAAAAGTACCGAAAATCTATGGTTTTTCACGTGCCGGGCCCTGGGAGACACTCGTCCGACATTGTTTCGACACTGTTTCGACACGCCTTCGACACTTTTCCGGGTGCTCGAACTATTTTGTGGGATGTGGTCCTTACAGTCAACCCGCATAGTAAGGATGGGCAGCCTTCCCAAGGATACCCTTGCATCCTTGCCTCCTTGGTCCATCCCTGACCACTTTCGTTGGCCGCGACCCGCTTGCAAAGCTTCGAAGTTGGCGACCAAGGCCCTGGCATCCTCCTCGCGCATCCTTACTATACGGGTTGACTGTAAGTACGATGGGAGCAACATGAAGCAAGAGGCGAAGTCCGGTACGGAAGTTTGGCCCGCCGTGCCGCGCCGCCAGCTCCAGCACGCCGTGCTTCGGAGTGCGCCGCGCTATAGCCGCCTCCCGGGCCCAGCAGCAGCAGCGTCCCGAGCCCTCCCAGGCCTCCCGCCCCACGGAGTGGACCGGTTCGCTGTCCTCTCGAACGGCATGCGGTGGGGGCGTTCGTTAAGGAATGTGCCTAGGAGGCTTCAGGCCCTGGAGGGTTCTTTATCTGATGGGGGCGGCGGTGATATCCGTGGCCAAGCCTCGATTGGAGTTCCACCGGCCTCCAGACCCTGGATTCCTTATCTAAGATCTAAGGGCTCCTTATCCAATGCCCCCGCCGTAGCGTGTCGCTGGGGCCGTCGCCGCGACACGCTGAGCACACGCTCCTGACCGCAAGGGGGGAAGCCATACCGACGCCGGCGCTCGCCCTGGAGGGCTCTCGTCGCCACGGCTGGAACTTTCCGCGAATCTCTGGGCAGGACGCTCGTCGGCAGGATTCCTGGGAGTGGTTGTATCGGCACTTGATTCCCAACCCTCCTGCGTTGGGTTCTCGTTTTGAATAGAACACTGCGGTCGCACACCTTTTTCCTCCTCACGCCCCCTCTCGTTTTCTCCCCTGCCTCTCGCTCCTTCCTGCGTGCCAGCTTGCCTCCTTCCTGGCCATCCCTGGGGGGTCTGCGATCTGCGGAAGTGTGGCCACTTTCGAGGGCTGCTGGGGGGTCCAGCGGAGTGGTGGCCCGCGCGGATTTGAATTTGACCTCGCCATCCCTGGGGGGCTGCGATCTGCGAGAGAGTGGCCACGCTCGACGGCTGCTGGGGGGTCCAGCGGAGTGGTGTCCCACGCGGATCCAAATTAGACCTCGCCATCCCTCAGGGGCTGCGATCTGCGAAACCGTCGCCACTTTCGACGGCTGCTGGGGGGTCCAGCGGAGCGACGTCCCACGCGGATTCAAATTAGACCTCGCTATCCCTGGGGCTGCGATCTGCAACATTTTCGCCACTTTCGAGGGCTGCTGGAGGGGGGTCCAGCAGAGCGACGTCGTACGCGGACTACAATTTGACCTCGCCATCCCCGGGGGGCTGCGATCTGCGACACTGTCGCCACTTTCGAGGGCTGCTGGAGGGGATCCAGCGGACGTTGCACGCGGACGCAAGCTGGACCTCGCCATCCCTGGGGGGGCTGTGATCTGCGAAAGTGTCGCCACTTTCGAGGGCTGCTGGGAGGGTCCAGCGGGGCGCTGTAGCGGGCCACCCGCAGATTTGGCGGCGCGCCTTCGAGTGTTTAGTTCCCGCATTGAGAAGTGCAGGAAGGGAGCAGGGCAGCTGGCGGTCGAGCTAGGCCTCGCTCGCTTCTTGCACTGACAACTATCAGTTTTAATCATCTTGTCGGGCGCCGCGGCGTCCTGGCGCAGGCAGCGCTGCATCTTCAGCGTACAACCGACAAAAGCAACTCTCTTCGGTCTCATCCCGTCACCTTTCGTCGTCGCCCTCTGCCCCTTGCCACATTCCCTCTGCTGCCGCCGCGCTGACGGTTCGGCCCCCCACGCGTCCTTCTCTTGCCCGTCGTTCCCGCCCCCATTTCCTCCTCAAGCCTGGGCCCTCGCTCCTCGTCACTTTTTTTAATCATCTTGTCGGGCGCCGCGGCGTCCTGGCGCAGGCAGCGCTGCATCTTCAGCGTACAACCGACAAAAGCAACTCTCTTCGGTCTCATCCCGTCACCTTTCGTCGTCGCCCTCTGCCCCTTGCCACATTCCCTCTGCTGCCGCCGCGCTGACGGTTCGGCCCCCCACGCGTCCTTCTCTTGCCCGTCGTTCCCGCCCCCATTTCCTCCTCAAGCCTGGGCCCTCGCTCCTCGTCATTTTGTTGTTGTATTGTGAAACGTGCCACGTGAGCGCACCCGGTGTAGTTTGCACAACATGTATTTGCGCCTGCACTGTCATTGTCCTGGCAAATTGGGGCCAACTTGTCCTGCCACTTGGTGCACATTGGTTGGGTACGTCGCAGGGTATTTCCCCCTTGGGGAGCACCTGCGAATGGGTGCCCTTCGAAAATGTTATATTTTCCGATTGTCCCGCGGATCCCTGGGGTACCTTACGAGGCTCAGAGTCAACGAATGACGTGCCCCTAGACATATTACATCGTTGGGAATTTTGTATCACGCGTGCCTGGTGTAGCAGGGGTCAGCGCTGACGGGGGTCTGCAATCCACCAGCTGCTTCTATGTTTTCCGCTGCGGCTCCACCGACATGTTCGGCATCCTTGCAGTAGCTAGCGCGAGTGAGCTGGAAACTTCGCTGGCCGCTTCGTCCTCCTCCTGCCCCCCCCCCTTTCGCGAGGGTGCGCTGGACAGCCCGCGGGCATGGCGCTGCTTCCGGAGGATACGCCCGTGAACGCGGCCGCCACAAATGTTGCTCTGCTCTTCGGGGGCGCGCGCGCGAAGCGATGAAGAGGAAGACGAGGAGGAGGAAGAGGAGGAGGAGGAGGAGGAGGAGGAGGAGGAGGAGGAAGAATAACAGGAGTGGGTGGGGCCAAGCGGTGAGCACCTTCGCGCGAGGAGGAGGAGGAGGAAGAGGAGAAGGAGGAGGAGGAGAAGGAGGAGGAGGAGGAGGAAGAGAGGGAGGAGGAGGAACAGGAGGAGGAGGAGGAGGAGAAGGAGGAGGAGAACCTGTGTAAATTCAAGACGCGTCAACGATGTTGCAATCAGCCCTCTCTTCAAGTTTCCTCTTCGGAGGGCGCCACAGGCATTTATTTTCATGGTGGCAAGTGCCCCATTGGAAGGCAAGAGTCTCAGAATCCGTGCCAGAACGTCATTCCTGGGACTTCACCGTCGGTGGTCAACGTGACTGTTGCGTCCTGGCAATCTCAAACCGTGCCAGAAAGCCACTGCTGGGATATCAGCACCGCGAGTCAACGTGACTGCTGCGTCCTGCCAATCCCAAATCTGAGCACCATTCTTGGGACTTCGACACTGGAAATGTGCGCGGCGCCCAGGCGAGAGCCGCATTTTGAAGAAGAGCCGCCCCTCATCCTTGAAGCTGTTGGGTTTAATTATAGATATTTATATACAAATAAACTAATCTATATATATATATACACATATAGATATATAGAAAGCGAATGTGCGCGGCGCACTGGCGAGAGCCACGTTTTGAAAACGACCCTCCCTGCATCCGTGAAGATGCTGTAATTGCTAAAACGCATGTTTGGGCGGCGCTTGGGCGAGAGCCACATGTTGAAGACCACCCGTCCTCCATCCGCTGAGCTGCTGCACATGCCAAGCTTGAGGGTTATCAATGGTGAGGAAGTCTCAGGCTAAACGCCAGGCCCGCCCTACCGACACGTTCGGGGGTGCGGCAGGGAGGGCATTAGGGAAAGGGGCTGGAGGAGAAGGATGAGGAGGAGGGGGAAGGCGAGTGGTAGGAGGGAGGGGAGGGGGACGGGGACGGCGAGGTGGAGGGCAACGACAAGGTCGAGGACGACGAGAAGGATGAGAAGGAACTCTGTTTCGTGGCGAGGGCCGAGAAGGAGGAGGAGGAGGACTGTCACAAAGCTTACGACGACGAAAGAGGACGACGACAATGACGACAGGATGGAGATGGGGAAGGAGGAGCAGGAGGCCGCTGCTCCTGGTGAGTGCAACCCGCGGCCTTCCTAAGTGCGCCCGTTGTCATGCGCCGCCTCCCCCTAAGCGTGCTGGTTTCACTGTCCACTAACTCCGCATGTCGCCTCGTCTATTTCCCCTGCTCGTGTTGTACACTTGCTTTCCTGAAGCGCCCTTCCTTCTATGATCGGGAGGTGGGTGGTACTGCATTCGATTACACTTCCATGTGTTCTCGTTACTTCGTTGTTCTCTGCCTACTGGTTCACTTCACGTCAGCCTAGCTTTCATGACTCCGCTTCGCTTCACGCTGCTTGGTCTACGGTCTACGGTCGGAAACTTCGGATCGCGTGTCGCTCCGCAGGTTCTGGCCCACCACGCTTTGCAGCGACACGCCGGTAGAGGGAAACAACTACTGAACACTCCCCCTCCCCCCAACCTCAATGTTGGCATGACAGATGAATGTGGCATGAGTGTTCGCTAATCCGTTGCGAGGCCTGGCCGTCCACCTCGCGGTCCCGAGCCTTTCCGAGCCTCCCGCCCCGCGCAGCAGAGCACGCGACCTCGCCGCCGCGGCGGCACGCTGCTCAAGAGGTCCTGACCGCAGTTGTTTGCCGAGCCTGCGCGGGCCTCCCCCTGACACTGAAGGGGGCCCTGGGACACACAGGTAAATGCACACAGATCAAAGGTTCCCCCATAGTTTCCTATACTTTCTGGGTTTTTGTCTTCCCCCCCCCCCTTCCCATATCTTCCCATCTTCTCCTGGGAGTGGGCGATGAACTGTGTCTGTGTGTTCTTGTTTTTCCCCCCCTGAGACGCTCTGCTGCCCGCCGGCGTCGTCCTGCGCCAGGCTCCCCGTCGAGCGAGAGGGCGTGCCCGCCGGCGCCCGCAGGGGCAGCAGGCGCAGAGTCGCGGGCGCGGGGCCTCGCGGCATGCACCTCCAGGCCCGGGCCCTGCGCCCGCGTGGGCTTTGACGGCGGCGAGGGTCCATCCCCTGCCGCGGGCCGCGGGGAGGAGGCGGCGGGCGGGGGGGAGGGGGGGAGAGAAGGACCCTTACCGCCACCCTTCCCTGGAACAAGTACCCATGTTGCTACCCTTCCCTTGTTTCCGCCTTTGGGGTCCCTCGTCGCCACCGACCGCTGGATTCGCACTGCAATTCTGGTCAGAACGCGCCACAGGAGAGGTCCAGGGGAGTAGCGGTATCGGTGCCTTTTGGTTTCCCCAGGTGGGGGAGGAGGAGGAGGAGGAAGGGAAGGAGGGGGAGAGGACAGAGGGAGGAGTGAGGCGCGCGCGCAACGATAGCACGAGTGCGGAGTGAGGAGGTGGAGGAGGAGGGAGGAGGAGGAGATGCCTAAACACAGTTCCTGGAACTTCACGCCGGGAAACAACGCGATTGCCTTCGTTCTGACAATCTTAAGTCGTGCCAGACAACAAGTATTGGCAGGTCGACATAACGAATCAAGTGACCTTTGCTTCCTTGCAGCCCTAAACACATTTTTCCTACCATACGAGTTCTTACTCCTGCTGCAACATTTCAAGACGAATGGGCGCGGCGCTAGGGCGAGAGCAATATTTTGAAAATCACCCACCCTCCATCCTTTAAGCTGTTGCGAACGTTCAAGGCGACTGTGCGCGGTGCTAGGGCAGACTCGTTTCGAAAAGGACCTCAATCCGCGAAGCTGTTGCAAACTGCTTGGGCACGATTTCCGCAGGAGGGTCGTGTTGGAAGAACCTTCTTAAAACTTTTCTAGAACCTTCCTCGGGAGGGTTGTTTTGAAGAACCTTCTTAAACGCCTTCCTAAAATCTTCCTCATCTCAGAAGCGGCCCACGTTTCAATCCCAGCTCCAGGATCACAGGTGGTGGCGACGTCGCAGGCGGAACGCCCTGCCTCGCCCTGCCGGCACGCATCGGGAAGCGACAGGGGAGGACTTACCCAGACACCCCCCCCATTGCGGACAGCAGGGAGGGATTGCTGTTGTCTTGGCCCGACGCGCTTTGAGCTGGAACGTGGCGAGAGGCGCCCTGGCGCCTGCGGAGCCAGAAGAAAAACGAAGGAAATCACGCATAGGTGCCGTTTCCACACAACGGACAATGATGAGCCTGTTTCCCACCACCACCACCAGACGTTGGAGAGGGAGGTGGTCCTTTCCCTCCTCCTCCACCTCCTCCTCCTCCTCTTCCTCGTCCTCCTCCTTGTCCTTCTCCTCGTCCTTCTCCTCCTCCTCCATCCCCCTCCAACTTATGGTGGTGGTGGTGGTGGTGGTGGAAAACAGGCCCATCAGACAAGGGATAACAAGTCCCGAGTGCCAATCTGGCGCCCAAGCCACGGCGGCTACGGAGGCCGTCGCGCGAAGTCCAGAGCCCCCTTCCAGGGCCTGGCTGGAGAACGTTAAAACGAAGCAGTCACAGAGGAAGCCCGCCGCAGGAGCCCATTCCTGCATATTGAGCATGCACATGCACTTGTGTGCAGCCAAGACTGCGCCACCAATGGGCCCCCACGACGCCGCGAGCGCCTCCGGACGGGTAAAACAAGTGAAACGAAGCATTCCATAAAGAAGCCCGCCGCAGGCGCCAACTTTTTACCAAGTTTTGGCGTTGCTGCATCTTTGCGCGACTTCCACCGGCGCCACCCGTGGGCCCCGCGGCGACGGGCCCCCACGACGCCGCGGGCCCCGCGGCCGGGTGACTGGAAAACGCTGCACGGAATGTTCGGTGAAGGAGCCCGCCGCAGGCGGCGATTTTCCCATGTCTCAACATTACATGTGCGCGAAAGCCAGGGCCAACGCCGCCCTCGGGCGTCGCGGCGACGGGCCCCCACGGCGCCGCGGTCTCCCCGCGAGGGGGCCACCTGGGGCCCCCACGCGTGCGCGCGGGCCCCCCCGACCAGGCCCCGCCGCCCCCCCTGGCCGGAAAGAAGAAGGAGATGAAGAAGAAGAAACGGAGGAACAAAAACAACATAAAAATAATTAATATGAAGAAGAATAATAATAACAAACGAAGATGACGAAGATGAGGAACATATAAACGTGATGATGTTTGCCTGCCCCGAAGATGCCGACGCGTGCACGACTTGAAATGGGTTCGCGGAAGCCCCTTCACTCCGATGTGTAAAGACATGACGTGGGTTGGAGGAGGAAAAGGAGGAGAAGGGATGAGTGTGGAGTAAAGAATGAGGAGTGAGGAGGGAGAATGAGGGGCCGCAGGAAGGAGGAGGAGGCGGCGGAGGAGGGGGAGGAGGAGGGGGAGGAGCAGGACGAAGAGGAGGAGGAGGAGGAGGAGGAGGAGGAGGAGGAGGAGGAGGAGGAGGAGGAGGAGGAGGAGGAGGGGGAGGGGGAGCGGGAGGAGGAGGGGGAGGAGGAGGGGGAGGAGGAGGAGGAGGAGGAGGAGGAGGAGGAGGAGGACGAGAAGGAGGAGGAGGAGGAGGAGGAGGAGGTGGAGGAGGACGGGGGGAGCAGCGAACAGGGCCTGCTCCCGCGGGAGGCCCCCGGAGCCGCCGCTCCCCCCGCGCCGCCGCGGTGCCGAGGAACCCCAGCCGCAGCTCCGCGCGCGGGCAGGGCGCGCGCGCGATGTCGTGGCCGCCGGGCGCGAGCCTTTGCGTCGGGCCCGCGGGCGGCGCCTGCGCGGCGGCGGCCGCCGCAGGCGTGCCGCGCCCGCTGGGCGTTGCCATTTTCTCTGTCACGGAGTGAGCAGGAGGGGAAGAAGCACACAGACAAACATTAGACGTCGATTCCTAGGGAAATGTGGGAACATCTGGAAAGTGGTGGCTCAGACGGACACCTAGGAAATATGCAGAAATATTTGGAATACGGGGATTTGTGTCTATTTATTTGTGTGTCCTAGGGCCCCTTTAAATGAAGCGGGTCTTACGCGACACGGCACAGCGACCTTGCGCGGTAGCATGCGCAGGCCGACAGTGCGTAGCGCTGCATTGGAGACTAGGGTGCTTACGGGCGACCTCACGCGGGGAGCTGACGCGCGAATGTCGGAGGAATCGATACCGTTGTTCGGCGTCGCTAATTTGCCATCCCTCAGATCTGGGCTTTGCACTTTTTCAACAACCAGCGTTTTCGCTTGGTTTCGGGCCCTCTGAGGGCCCTGTGATCCTCACAAATCGATCCTTTTCGAAAGATGCCGCAGAAAGATGGAGTCTGGGGTTGCGGTTGTGATCTTACGATGTTGCATTTGTTGAGCGACGTCAGATCTCAGGGGGCGGCGTGCGCAAGACGACGGCACGACCGTGGCACGCGCTGGTGGGCGTTCCACGGGTCTTTGGCAGATCCTGGCGGCGAACCGATGTTGCACGTGTAGATTGAATGGTAATGGGTTTAGAGACTGACGCCCTGGAGACGTTTGCCGGGGCGGTAGGGCGGGCGTCGCAGCGCGCGTTGTCTTCGGAGGCGGCTTCTCCCCCATCCGCCGTTGACGTCTAGAAGGCGCCCCTGCAAGGCGCGGCGCGCGCCGCGACGCAGGGGCAGCGCGAAGCGCCCCGCGGGGCGAGCTTCACTCTGCCGCCAGGCAGTGCAGCGATAAGTTTCAAGCAGGTCCCAGGCTGCGAGTCCTTCGACGACCAGGGGATGGGTGCCAGCGCTGCATCGAGCCAGGCGCGGGCTGCGAGGGCGCGTCCAGAGCCTTCTCCACGACGCCCGCCAGGGCCGCGCGCTCGCCTGAATGCAACGCCAAACCAGGGAGGCGGGGCCCTGAGGTCGAGGTCAAGCGCCGGGCGTCTGCTGCGCATGGCCCCACTGGCTCGGAGTTCGTGTTCGGGCTGTCCAAGTGCGTTGGCGACTTGAAGACCGCTGGGCGCACAGAGCACGTGGACCGGCTGATCTGCCACGTGGAGGGCGTCTTCGTCAAATTTAATGGCGGCCACGACGACTCCACCATTTGCGGAGCACGCCAGCCCCGCGGTGCCGATGGAGCAGCCACGCTCGACCAGGACAAGTACATCCGCCGGCCGCGCTCGGATCCCCATCGCGCGCGGCGACGTGGTCAAAGCGAAGGCCGACGTGCCGGCAGGAGGTCTGCTTCCATACATATTTGGTTGTCTTTTCGGAGCATCCGCATGCGCTCTGCTCGCGCAACACCACGTTGCCGTCTACACCATCGCGCGGCAGAGGGCCAAGCACAAGGTGTTCATCAGTCGCGGGACGCAGCTCAACCTTGTTTTCCTGGCAATGCTGAAAATCATGGCGCGTTTCACATTCTCTTCGATGGAGTGCGCTGGGCGGTTATGATTCCACAGCGACGGCTCGTTCAAGCGCGAGGAGGACACTGGTTTAGGCATTAAAGGAACCGTGCACGTACGTCTCGGCAAATGTCGCAGTATTGCCATCTGCTCGGCGACGCGAGCCGATCGCACAGTCTTGCGTGCCGATCATCCATGGGCTCAGAGCTGCTCGCAGCCCGCGGTGCAGCTGACGGGCTGCACGCGTACCTTCTAACGCTCTACGAGATGATCCGCGGGCCCGCTTCAGCCGAGGAGATCAGGAGACTGTGAGAAAAGAGGTTACGCGGTGCTGGCCGACCGTGCGGCTCGGCCCTGGCCATGGACTTTGTTCGACCTCCGTCGGATACCAGCGTGGTAGGCCATCTCTGATGGCTGTCGGACCAATCTCGTACCAAGCAGCTTGACGACACCCTGTGGTGCGACACCAGAGTCATGCGCGCCGACGCGCCGACCCACTGACGAAGGGGAACATCGGCCGCGACCTCACTCTGAACGCACTGGACTGCGAGTTCGGCTGCGAGCACCAGACAGTCATACTGAGCGAAGATAATCACATGAATCACGTGCCGAGCCCACAACAGAGTAGCCCTTTTTTAACCAGGAGTGCATCGACGTTACCGGTTAAACCATCTTGCGTCACATCTCCCAAACTGCGTTCGCGAATGCGACATCTGACGGACAGATGATCAGGGAAAGTGGTGAGGAACGAAGCATGCCATTGAGAGGGTTTCGTCCGCGAGCTATGTTCGTGGCGCAGCAGGTGCCGGGACACCAGGCACTCATGGGAGTGAGTGCGTGCTCCACCCAAGAATTTGCTTCAGTTTAATATTTTAGAAGGGGCATGGTCAGTAGAATGTCCTCTCCGCTTAGCTTCGCTGCTTTGGGTGTGGTTCGCACGCCAGAGCTGGCGAGTCACAGTCAGACTCGTTCGAGCACCAGACTCGAACGAAACTTTTCGCACGCTGACGCTCTTAATTGTCGCAACGAAAAGTAGGAATCGAGAAGCCCAGTTCGCATCGAGGCGCCTTTTTTTCCGCTGCGAATCTGCCCTCGGGTGCGGAAGCTGGCCAGCTTCCGTGCGTGTCTCAAACGCGTGTAATATATTCATACCCTAGTGTTCCTTGCCCCGTAAAACAGCGCTTCTAATCCTGATCCTCTACTTTTAGTCCTACCGCCTCCGCTCCCCCTCCCCGCTCACCCTGACCATGGTTTTCCTGCTCGCCCCTAATCAGTCTCCCTCCTCCTCCTCCTCCTCCTCCTCCTCCTCCTCCTCCTCCTCCTCATATGTTTCCTTTTCGTCCTCATCCTCATCCTCACCCCCCAGTTGCATCGGGCAAACGTACGCAAGCAAGCCGTCGCGCCCATAGGGACAAACAAAGATATTGACTTAGGCACTGCGGCCAACACGGAGCCCATCTTCGTGCAGCAATAAATGGTGTGGCTAAGAGATGAGATCAGAGTAGCCTGTGACGGCGCAGAGTATGCACGCATCCTCCTCCTCCTCATCCTCCTCCTCCTCCTCCTCCTCCTCCTCCTCCTCCTCCTGCTCCTCCCCTTCTCCTCCTCCTCCCCCTCCTCCTCCTCCTCCTCCTCCTCCTCCTTCTCGTCCCCCTCCTCCCCCTCTCCCTCCCCCTCCCCGCCAGAGGCGCTCCCGCGGAGCGCTCCTGCAGCTTCGCACGGTGGTGCACCCCAGAGGGCCTTGCGGTGGACGCGTGCCTGCGCTGGCACAGCGGCCTCCCGAAGAGCCTGCCCGCGGACAGGGAGGACGCCGCCGCCCCCCATAGGCCAGAGAAACATGCGTCTAGGCCTCCCAGGTGAGATCCGAGAAGACGGGTCGAAGGATCGCATCGCCGATTCATTGGCGGTGCGGCTCGAACGTCGGCGTCCCGATGCATCGCCGACGTCGCTGGTGCATCGCCAATGCGTCGCCGATGCATCGGCGATGTCTATGCGGCGCGACCCTCCGACCACATCGTCTCGGACCCCAGTTGGGAGTCCTCTAAGTCAGTGTCTTCTCCGAGCGGTGATCCGCCACGTTCTGGCCAGTTGCCGTCCGTTGTTACTCGTTGCCGCCTGTGGGAGGGAGGAGGCCCAGACATCCCATGCTTTGAAACATCGGAATCGGAACGGCGTTTTTTCTTACATCTCGGCCTCTTAGGGCCCTCGCGGGGCCCCGGGCCGTCAACACACGGCTCGGGATGAACACGTTTTTCATCCCAGGACCGGCTTCACCGGTCCTGGGGGAAAGGGTCGGGACTTTTTGGGGGGCCCATATTGAGCAAGTCAAGGCGCCGGTTTTCTGGAGGGGAGGAGGAGGCAGGAGGTAGGAGAAGGAGGAGGAGGTAGAGGGAGCTGGCGACAGGATGAAGAGCACGGGATGGAGAGGTGGAGTTGGAGGAGCATGAGGGCGAAGAGGAGGGGGAGCAGGAGGTACCTGGGAGCAGGAGGGGATGCAGGGAAGGAGGAGGAGGAGGAGGAGGAGGAGGAAGAGGAGGAGGAGGAGGAGGAGGAGGCGCATGAACAGGGGGACGTTGAGGGGGAGGGGTGGCGTCGCATGATCCAACCGCCCACAGCTTGGAGGCTTTGAGAATCAGAAGGAAAACGATCAGTAAAGGAGTAGGGCGGTCTGTAATTGGCTTGATCGGGTCAACCGAATGCCGCATGCTGGCTTATACTCTTGGGAACGCTCACAGTCGCGTTTCTCGCTTCTCCGTCGTCGGGGAGGCCTACACTCGCCCCCTCCAGGATCGGACGGGATTGGAAGGATGCGACAGAAGTAGGGGGCAGGGAGGTGGAAGGAGCGTGGCCTGTATACGGTCAGGGACGTCTGCTCAGTGTTGCGCGCCGCGGGTTCTGGCCCACCACGCTTCGGTGCAGCCCAGAAACATCAGCATCTCAGACTCCCCGAGCCTCCCGACCCACGCAGCGGAGGGGCACGCTCTCCGCTCGCGGGGCATGGCGTGGCGCTGGAGCCGCCGCCGCGGCACGCCGAGCAGACGTCCCTGACCGTAATTGGTCGCTTCGACTCGGGTCGATCCACCGGCACCGCCCCGGGCCAGGCAGAGCCGGGCGCGGCAATCCGATTCGGAGCGATTCGTTGGCGATCCGATCCGTTTCCGATCCACTCCGATCTTGTAGTTCGATCCAGCTCAGGCCTGGCTCCGCCTTCCCGCGGCGCTGGTACTACCGCGGTCGAGAACCGCCATACTCTGGCCCGATCCTGCCGAAGACGGCCCCTTCCCGCTTAATCTGGCTTCACGACCCCTCGACCGGGCTTTTTCTTATCGCCCATGAGATCGATCCTACCTCGTCCTTCTCCTCCTTCTCAACATCCGCCTCCTCTTCCTTCCCCTTCTCCTCCTCCTCCTCCTCCTCCTCCTCCTCCTATCTCCTCCTATTCCATTATTTCCGTCCTCCTCCTCCTTCAACCGTTGTCCTTCTCCTCCTTCTTCTTCAACCGTCGTCCTTCTCCTCCTCCTCCACCTTCGCCTCTTCCTCCCCACATTGTCCTTCTCCCATCCCGTCCTCCTCCTCCTCCTCCTCATATCACCTCCTATCTCCGCCTCTTCCTCCTCCTTCTGCTCCTCCTCCTGTTCCTCCAATCGTCGTCATTCTCCTCTTCCTCCCCACATCGTCATCCTCCCATCCCATCCCTCCTCCTCGTCCTCCGTCTGCTGCTGCCCCTCCTCCTCCTCCTCCTCCTCCTCCTCCTCCTCCTAGCTCCTTCTATCTCCTCGTTTTCCTCTTCCTCCTCCTTATCTTCCAATCGTCGTCATACTCCTCCCCTTCCTCCCCACATCGTCCTTCACCCATCCATCCTCTTCATCTTCCTCCTTCTCCTCCTCATCCTCCTATTCCTCCTCCTTCTCCTCCTCTTCCTCCTTCTCGTCCTCCTCCTTCTCCTCCTCCTCCTCCTCCTCCTCCTCCTATTGTCCTTCTGTATCTTGCTTTCGTCCTCCGCCACGCATCCTCCTCTTCTTCTTCTTCCTCCTCCTCCTCACGCCCCGCCCCGCCCCGCCCCAGCAGCAACAGGAGCCCCTCTGCACCCTGCGGCTCTGCGTGCACGCCTCGCCGCCGGAGCACCTCGACGCGCAGCTGCGGGCACATCACCTGCGGCCGCCCCTGGAGGCAGGCCGTCGTCCCCTTCAGAGAAGAGGAGGATCGAGGAGCAGGAGGAGGAGGAGGAGGAGGAGGAGGAGGAGGAGGAGGAGGAGGAGTAGGAGAAGCAGCAGGAGCAGGAGCAGGAGCAGGAGAAGGAGCAGGAGAAGGAGGAGGAGGAGGAGGTTCGAGTTGGATCGAGGAGGAGGAGGAGGAGGAGGAGGAGGAGGAGGAGGAGAAGGGGGTGGAGGAGGAGGAGGAGGAGGAGGAGGAGGAGGAGGAGGAGGAGAGGAGGAGAAGAAGGGGGAGGAGGAGGAGGAGGAGGAGGAGGAGGAGGAGGAGGAGGAGGAGGAGGATCTCGAAAGCCGGTATTTTTGTATTATTGTTATTTTGCCTCGCTTTCGCCTCGTCTTGTGTGGCTGTGTTCGGTCGCTCCTGCGCTTCCGCGCTTTCCGCCTCCCTCCTGTTTTGTGGCGTTGGGCTGCCTGTCTTCTCAGGGCTTGGCCTCCCTTTGCCGGGGAGGGCGGCGGAGTCGCTGAATAAGAGCGATCCGTGGCTCGTCGGCCCGGCCCCAAACGGGGCGCGAGAGCAGCAGGCAGCGTGCCCGGACGTCACTCCCTCACACGCCTGCCCCAGTGGACACCCGTTCCAAAGGTGGACGGGTGCTGGGGCTGCGGCAGGAGGAGGAGGAGGAGGAGGAGGAGGAGGAGGAGGAGGAGGAGGAGGAGGAGGAGGTGGGTAATGGCGGGGGTCTCTGCCGCTGCTCAGCTCTACTCCTCGCGGTGGGCTGCGGGCGCGCGGCGAGGGACGTTGCGAGCACCATTCATCGCGTGGGTCAGGCCAGGGGAGGGCAGAGCGGAGACAGCCCGCGTTCCCTCGAGAGACAAGCCGCGAGGCGTGGACCGAGCCTCAGCTGCGGCGCCTGGTGGTCGCCATGATGGGGGAACCCGCCGCCGCTGGCGACCGCCACAGTGCTGACCGCGTGCAGCTCCAGCGTGAGCCAGGAGTGCCGGTTGGAGGAAGAGACACGGTCGGGATCGTTTGCTTAGAGTGTCGCGCCGCTAAGGAGAGTAGGAGGTGGAGGGGGAGGAGGAGGAGGAGGAGGAGGAGGAGGAGGAGGAGGAGGAGGAGGAGGAGGAGGAGGAGGAGGAGGGGGGGAGGGGGAGGGAGGAGGAGGAGGAGGAGGAGGAGGAGGAGGAGAGGAGGAGGAGGAGGAGGAGGAGGAGGAGGCGGAGGAGGAGGAGGAGGAGAAGAAGAAGAAGAAGAAGAAGGAGGTGGGCCAAGGAACTCTTCGGCGGGGTTTTGGCAGTCTGCTCGCCTCTGGATGCTTCGTAGCAGCTGCTGCCTCGTCGGGAGCTTTCGTGGGGGGGTTGGGGCCCAGATCATTCCGAACGGCCCCCAGAGACCAGAGGTGATCGTGGCCCGACAACCATCAGTGAGGGTTACGGTTGGGAGCTTTTGCTTGGCGTGTATGGCGCCGCTGGCTCTGGCGCACCACGCCTCGGCGCGGCACGTCGAACCGCGTCCTGGTCCCCGAGTGTCAACTTCCCGAGGGTTTCCCCAGCCTCCTCCTCCTCCTCCTCCTCCTCCTCCTCCTCCCTCTCCTCCTCCTCCTCCTCCTCCTCCTCCTCCTCCTTCTCCTCCTCCTCCTCCTCCTCCTCCACAATTACTCAATATGAATACTACTCTCCCTCTTCCCCTGATGACGGCCTGGGAGTGTCCGACCCCCCCCCGCGTATGTTTTTTACACACAGGTTTCCCCGGAGTTGGGTTTTCGCTTGCATTTGTTTCAAAATGCTGCTCTCGCTGAGGCGCCGGCCTCATTTTCGGGCCCCGCTCGTTCCGAATCGTGCTCCCGCTGCAGCGCTGGCCTCATTTCCGTGCTTCCGCTCGTTCCGAATCGTGCTCCCGCTGCAGCGTTGGCCTCATTTCCGCGCTTCCGCTCGTTTCGACTCGTGCTCCCGCTGCAGCGCTGGCGTCATTTCCCGTGCCAAGGTTGATACTACGCTTTGCGGTGCTCTTCTACGCCATGCCGTGCCGTGCTCTACAATGCATCGCGTATCCTTCCGGGATCATTGCCCTGCTCGACAACCGACTGTGCGAGTAGAGAGGGGATCTGCGCCATGGTAAGGGATGGGAGGGAGGGGTAGGATGTCAGATATGACGCGAGCGCATCTAGCTTGTCCTCCTCCCCTCCCCCTCCCCCTTCCCCTCCTCCTCCTCCTCCTCCTCCTCCTCATCATCCTCCGCAGGGCATAGCGTGTCGCGGGGGCCGCCGCAGCGACACGTTGAGCCACAGTTCCTGACCGTATCACGGGCGCCGGCCAGAAGTTCGGCCAGCTTGAACAATCAACGCCGACGTCGATAATGTAGGCCCCCGCGCACATTGATACGCATACAGTGCCCTCCCATTCGCCCCGTTGGCAACCCCCGGGAGTGCCCTTGTCGCCACGACTGCGTTCGCCCCGACACCCTTGCTAGAATGAACCCTTGGAGAGCGAGCGAAAAAGAACGCCGCACACTGACGGCGCATTGGCAACAACTGGATAAAAGATAGAAGCACGCGTGTGGCACCATGCAGAGGACAACGGCAGAAACGCTGAGCAGCAGCATTGCCAGCGCTGGGGAAGTTTGTCCAAGCGCTGCGCCTGGAGAGATCATCGGGCGTCAGGCGTAGGCCCAGGTCGTCACCTTCTCTCATGCATTATTTCGCCGATCGGCGCGGGCTGCTCTTGGCGGCTGCTTTTGGCGACTGGTCATGACCCCCCTTCCCAGTCTGCCTGAGCGACTGGTAAGCGCCAATCGACTACAGTCGGCCTGGATTAGTAGGTCGACCCTGCCAAATCAAGGGTACCTTTGTGTCCTGTGTCTCTCGACCCGTGCCTCCTGCATTCCTATGTCAATGTGGCCCTCGCGAGGGTCTTGTGTCCGCTCGCGTGTCCTGTCCAATGAAGTCCGACTGTAAGCACCGGCCCAGACTCAGACCCCCCACCCTTCGGCCAGCTGTCGAGACCGAGAAGAGAAAAGCGCTCACCTGGCGCAGGCCCACGTCGCAGGCTTCTTGCCGATGCGAGCGAGGCCCGGGCCCTCGGGGAACGCGCCACCGCAAAGTCGCGCCGTGTAGAGCTGTCACCGGTGCGGTGGGGGCAGTGGCCTTCGGGGGTCGACAGCACGGCCACCCCGCAAACCTGTCGCCGAGTCCCTTGGCAGGGCTGGACCTAAACGGCGTTTTTGGCGATTTCGTGGGCTGTTTTCGTTTCGACTTCGTTTTGCGGTAAAGGCGGATTCGAAAAGCGGGGGGAAAACGAAGACAAAACGAAAACGAAAAACACCGTTTAGTTTCAGCCCTGTCCCTTGGAGAATGGTTCTTCGAGGAGCACCAGAAGAAGCACACGGCAGAGCTGCCGCCGATGCGCCGGCGGCCCGCGTCGGCGGGGAACGCTGGCCAACCCGCGTTGCAGAGCTGCCGCCGATTCCACGGGGGACCCGTGTCGCAGGGAACGCCGACAGCGCCGCTCTTCCAGCTTGCCAGCTTGCCTCCGATTCGATCAGGGGGCCGGGGTCCTCGAGGAGCGCCGACATGGCCGCGCCGCAAACCTGCTGCCGATGCGATAGTGGGCCTGAACTTCGATCTCTGCTCCGGGGGGCGGGGCCGCGGCCGACGAGCTCGCCCACCTGCGCGACGCCTGCCGAACCGCTCGCCCCCTTAGGTGCACGTCTGGGGACCTTCTGGGACCCACCCTGCGAGTCTGTTTCGGCTCCAGGTCGACTCTGGCTCGACCCGAGCTCGACTCAAGTTCGACTCGAGTCCACGGCCCCTTAGAGGCACGTTTGGGGACCTTCTGGGACCCACCCTGCGAATCTTTTTCGGCTCCAGTTGGACTCTGGCTCGACCCGAGCTCGACCCAAGTTCGCCTCGAGTCGACGGACGTGCGACGCAGCATCGGCGCGTGAGCGGAGCGAGTGGCTGCAGGAAGGTCCCAGAACGAGCATCTACCCCCCCCCCCCTCTACTATAAAGTCGGGCTTGTCCCTCTACAGGGGGGATATTCCCAAATAGTCAAACAAATAGTCTGGGGACGATTTATTATTGGGGGTATTATTGGGAGTCTTTCTTTATTTCTCGCCCAAAATTCCCCTGTAGGGGGACAGGCCCGACCTAACTCTACGATCCCCCTGTTGACCACAAAGCCCCAGGTTCGCAGAGGTTCGGTGCCCAGACCTTCCAGGACGTTCTGGGAGGGTAGCACAACCAACTGGACAGAGCAGGGACAACGTCAGGGGGGGGGGGCTTAGAGGGGACGGCATAGACCCTCAATCCCCCATTCATCGCCGATAGGCGCCTGATAGACCACTCCGCCCAGAAACGTTCGGATGCATTACCAGGGGCCTATCGCCGATCTATCGGCGATGTATCGCCGATTCCGGCTCAATGGTTCCCGCCCTGAGCCAGCGACCCCGTTGTCGCCCCCCCGCAACCATCATGGACCCCACAGTGCGGGAGTCACTGTGGCACCCCTCCGGGGGAGCGGTGAGGCTCATCTGACGCACGCAATTTGCATGCGGGCGTCGCGCACGCGTGCTGGTGGTAGACGCGATCAGCTTGAAAGTGTCATCTAGTCCGACGATATGGGCTGGTTGTTTTCGGCACCCTCGAGAGGGATCCTGGGGCTCCAATGATTACTGACGGGTGGCCCAAGGGCCATCATGTCCTGGCCAGCTCCGTTCGAGAATCATTGGGTCTTTGATGTCGGCGCGCCATTCTACTGGTGGATCGACAATCCATCACACTCAGCGTAAACATATAAGAGGAATGGGATTGGGCAGCGCTCCATGGGGATGGGCAGAATTCCATGATAGGACTCGGCAGCATTACATGAAGGATGTCTGTCACGTTGGATTATATGAGGTGAGCAACCTCAGGAAGTTGCGAACATCTTCGGCGAAGGGAGCGACACTCTGCGGCATGTCTAGACGGGCCAGGAACGGTAGGGCAGTCAAACAGGGCAGTCAGGCTAGTGCGAGCCTCGAGGGACGCCGCGAGGAAGATTGGCGATCGACGTGCTCTTCGGGCCCCCTGGCGGGGAGTCGCCGAGGGCTGAGCAGAGGCCCCCCGCGCCGTCGTTTCCCAGATCCCGCGCGTTCCGCGTGCATGGGGTTCAGCCAGTGCTTTGGCATTGAGGCTTCCTCCCCCTCCTCCTCCTCCTCAGCCTCCTCCTCCTCCTCCTCCTCCTCCCCTTTCTCCTCCCCATCCTCCCCCTCCTCCTCCTCCTCCTCCTCCTCCTCCTCCTCCTACTCCTCCTCCTCCTCCTCCTCCTCCTCCTTCACTGCATCGACACGGTGTGCCCATGCTTGGGGCAGAAAGAATGCGGTAGGAGCCAGGCGGGAAGCAATGAGGCACCCGTGCCGCGTGCCCAGTATCGAGCAACAGGTTCCGGACACGCGTGAAACGCAGCAGAACACATATACGCCGTGCAAGATTCAAGAGATGTGCTGGGAGATACAGCCAAGACGTTGGATTGTAACAGTGGCCACTTTGGTTTCGGGAGGGGCTTGAAGCTCATTCGGTATGCTCTTAGGGTAACGTTCGCCAGCATGCTCGCGCATGATGTTTCCCGATGTCTTGGCAATGTCCGCGGGTGGCCCCCCTTCCTCCTCCCCGCCCGTCCCATCCTCAGCGTCGTGCTTCGCTTTCATGCACGGGTTTGCCCCAGAGTTTGCCGCGCGCCATACCCGTAAGTGAATCGCCAATCACAAACGCCAGCGCCGATAACACGTCACAAACGATAGCTAATGCAACGTCAATGTCAAACGGAAGTGCTTGTCGCGCTGGGAGGTTACAATACGACACTCAGCATGCGTTTTGGCTTATGATTTATGGTGGGTGTATCCTGTTTGCTAATCTGGCCAGTAAGTTTGCGCTCGTGCTCGACCTTGTGTTGGCGGTCACGCTCTTCATTTGCCGTTCACTCACGCTTGCAGCCATGGTTATTCCCAACCATCTTGTGGTGTTGGGTCCTCGTTTGGAGTACGCATCGCCCCGCGTCTCCTTCCTCCCCCTCTCCTCTCCTCCCTCCTACCCCTGCCTCCGCCCTACGTTGCCTTATCACCAGCATCCTTGTCAGCACCATCACCATCGTTATCATCGTTCCGGCACACCCCTCACATGTTTCGTTGTTCCATAGGGAGCTCCACCGAAGGCCTCAGTGGCTGCGCACGCATGCCACCACCGCACATATTTCGGCACATCCCGCACACGTCTCGTGGACCCATGGGCCATGGGGAGCCCTACCAGAGGCCCCAGCGGCTGCGCTCTCAAGCCGCCACCGTAAAATGTCGGCACACTCCTCGCACGCTTCGGTGCCCCACAGTGAGCTCCGCTGAAGGCCCCAGTAGCTGCGCTCGCATGCCACCACCGCGCCCATTCCGGCACACCTTTCACACGTTTATATGGAGCTCCACCGAAGGCCTTAGTGGCTGCGCTCGCATGCCACCACCGCACATATTTCGGCACACCCCTCACACGTTCTGTTGCCCCATAAGGGGGCTTCGCCGAAGGCCCCAGTGGCTGCGCTCGCATGCCACCACCGCACCCATTTCGGCACGTCCCCGCATGCCACCACCGCAGCACTGCTGTCTGCACACCCCTTGCACGTGACGTGGCCCCATGGGGAGCTCCGCCGGATGCCCCAGTGGTTGCGCTCGCATGCCACCACCGCATCCAATCCTGCACACCTCTAACACTTTGTGTGGCTCCTTCTGGAGCTTCGCCAAAGGTCCCAGTCTTTGCGCTCGCATACCACCACCGCGCCCATTCCGGCACATCCCTCACACGCTTCGCGGCCCCAGTGTGAGCCCCACCGAAGGCCCCAGAGGCTGTGCTCGCATGCCACCACCGCGCCTATTTCGGTACACCCTCACATGTTTCGCGGCCTTGTAAGGAGCTCCACCGAAGGCCCCAGAGGCTGCGTTCGCATGCCACCACCGCACCCCTTTCGGCACCCCCACGCACGTTTTGTGGCCCACATGGAGCTCCGCCGAAGACTCCAGTGGCTGCGTTCGCATGTCACCGCGGCGCCCAATGGCACAACATTCGCGGCCCCACAGGGATTTCCGCCGAAGGTCCCAGTGGTTGCGAATGAACTCCACCACCACACCCATGTCGGCGCACCACATTCATGATTCCAGAAGGAGCTTCGCCGAAGGCCTCAGTGGTTGCGCTCGTATGGCGGCACCACGCCCATGTCGGCACACCCCGCGCACGTTTCGTGGCCCCAACCGGAGCTCCACCCAGTGCCCCAGTGGCAGGGTCCCCATGCGGTTCCACACCTCATTTCGGCGCACTCCTCGCACGCTGCGTGGCCCCATATCGAGCTCCACCGAAGGCCCCAGTGACAGGGTCCGCATGCGGCATGCAGTTCCACTCCCATTTCGGCGCGCCCTGCGCACGCTTTGTGGCCCCAGAGGGGGCTCCATCGAAGGTCCCAGTGGACGTCCCCAATTCGGCGCACCCCTCACACGGTTCGTTTCCCTCCTTCTTACCTCTTTCTCTGCGGAACTCGTATTTGCACATGCTTGGGGTTTCCGCCAGGATGACCCTTTGTTCCTAGATAAGACTGGTTGCCTTGAGGGATTTTGCTGGCGCCTGGAATAAGTGGGGCTCGTTTCGAGGGTTTCGCCCGGCCGCCTCCCGTGGGCGCCCGCGTGGGTGCCTCGTACGCTCGCTGATCTCTCCGGGTTCTCGTCTGGCCGCCGCCCGTGGGCGCCTCTGGGCGCCCAGGTGGTCGCCTGCTGCCCTGGCTGGCGCTGTCTGGTTTGCCATGCGGTCGCCGCCCTTTGGGGCGCCCGTTGGGGCGCCGCGTGCGCTGGCCGGTCGCCGGTCGCCGTCTTCTCGCCGGGTCGCCGCCGGTGGGCGCCTCGCGTGTTCCTCGTGCTTCGGGCTGGAGGTTCCAGGCCTTCGCTCGGTCGGGGCCCGCGGGCGCCTCGTGGGCTCTGCGTGCGCTGGCGGGGCGCTTCTCCATGCACACATCGATTCTCCGATCGAAGAGAGCATTCGGATCTACCCCTCCTGGAGTTCACGGTGTCCCTTGTTGGCATTGCAACGTGCAGATGGTTCTGCTCCATCGTCCATCCTGGATATATTTTCGATGCATCCCAGCTACACCGTATCTCCTCCCCCTTCATGCACTATGCGCGCACGCTTGCTTATCGCAAATCTTCTGTTCCTAATAACCTCTTGCAAACAATGTGACGAAGTGCACACGCGCGCGTCGTCGCAATAATCTCTTGCGCAAGACGAGACGAAGCGCACGCGCGCGTCCTCGCGAACGCATGCCGAAATCGTTCAAAAGCCCCAGGTTCCGTACGAAATTCACAATGGAGCACACCGGAAACATACGGAACACACATGGTGTTTCAACATCCGTTGTTTCAACAAGGATGCGCTCGCGCGAAGTGGGCCGCTTGGGCAGTCTTGGGCCGTCTTGGAGGCTTCTTGGGCGGACTTGGAAGTATCTTGGATCCCCTTTGGCCGTCTTGGAGGACATCCTGGCCATCTTGGAGGCATCTTGGAGGCCAGCTTGGGCCATCTTGGAGCCGTCTGGAGCAGGAAAAACCTTGACAACCGGGTCTTCCAGGTCCTTCCTGGTTGCCGGCGGGCTGGGCTGGAGCCCCAGGGAAGAGTTCTTTCGGAAAAAGAAACACAGCCAAAACCGAAAGGATCCAGCACGCCGGGCACCCCTGTGATGAATCAACAGGGGGCGGCGGATCTCATCGCCTTCGGCACAGCCCGCCACCGTGCCTGGGTTGTGGGTATGAAGCCTATTGGATGTTCGCTGGGATCTCGTGGGAGGCTTCTCGGGGGCCTCTTGGAGGCAAATTGGACGCCTCTTGGGGACCGTTTGGGGAACTCGTTGGGCCTCGTTTGGGCCTCCTGGGGGCCTCTTGGGGCCTCTTGGGGGCCTCTTAGGGGCCTCTCGGGGGCCTCCTGGCCGCATCTTGGGGCCTCCTGGGGGCCTCGTGGGGCAAGGCTGGGATTTTCGGCTCGCGTTCCCTCTTTTTGGCCTCTTTCGGGGCCGTCTTCGGGCCCTCTTAGTCTGCTTTGGATGCCTCTTGCACTGTCTTGGGGCCCTCTTGCGCCGTTTTGGGGCCCTCTTGGAGGCCTCTGAGTCGGTCTTGGGGCGATCTTGGGGGCTTCTAGGGCCGTCTGGGAGAGTCGGGGAGCCCGGGCATCGGGGGGCCCTCTTGTGGGGCCTCTTGGGGGCCCCGTTGGGCGTTCTGATGGCCTCTTGGGCCGTCTGGGGGACATCTTGAGAGTCCTGGGGCGATCGTTCGGCGACTCGGGGCCTCCTAGGGGCTTCTTGGGCCCGTTTTGGCCCGTTTGGGGGCCCTCTTGGGTCCGAAAATGTCACGCGAAAAGACGCGGCAAGCCCCAGGGGAACCACGGGACGCCCAAGATGATTTGAGAATTTGGGGTCCGGGCTCTTAAGAGACTCCAAAGGAGTGAGGACTGATTCTCAGGGGGTTGGCCAAAGGACCTGAGGACACGCCCACTCTGTGCCCAGAGGCACGGTGGTGGATAATGACGTATGAACACAGGAGGAGGACGGCTGGGAGGAGAAGGGTGATAAGATGATTTTTAGATTTAGACCGAGGACGAGAATAACGAAGTGGAATAACACCTCCTTCCATCTTTCGGGTTGTAAGGGTTGCATTCGCCAGTGCTCGCATTGAGTTGTCAACTCCACTGTTCGCGCAATTCTCCCGCCCACCCACCCTCAATTTGGTTTGCAAAACCCATCGGACGGCGATTGCAATGAGTGTTTGGCGCTGGCTGGTGCATCTCTGCGGCCGCGCTAGCCCGCGCATGCTCGCGCACGCAGCAGCCAGCTAGTGCGGCGCGACCGACGCGGCCGCGGTGGCACTGACCGCTGGGCAATTCAAAACGGGCACTTCAGTGCGAGTCGGTGACTTGGGCGGGCGCGGTATCACGGCGACGCAGGCAAAGGTATACGCGATGATTGGAGTAGCGATGATGGTGACGATGGTGGCGATGACGACAGCAAGGCCGATGACGGCACCGATGCTGTTCACGCCCGCCGATAACGATGACGATGTCCTCGCGTCGGAGATGACGGTTCTGGAACTAGTTCAACATGCGCGCGCGGCCGGCGCCCGCGACTGGCCCGCGTGTTATTTGGCGCGGATCGTGCCTCCCCCCAACACGCGCGCAAGGACGTCCGGATGAGTTCGACATGCGGCGCAGAAGGCCCGTTTGACTGAAGTTGATAAGACCGTTTTCTAAACAAAAAAGAAACAAGGCAACTAATTCTTGATTTGCTTGAGATTTCGCCGAATTCGCAGCGCGGGCGCAGTATTTTGGTTAATGAATACTGGTCTTGCGAAAACCATGTGTTGTATGTGTTGTCGGGACGCTCGTTTTGACATTTTTGCAACACGTAAGGGTGTGAACAGATTCCAGCATTCGCGCGCGATGACGCGCGCGTGTGCGCTCCGTTCCGTTTTTAAATCAGAGGTTTTTTTGCGACGACACGCGCGCGAGGGCCTTCGAACGATTTCAACATTCCCGCGCGAGAAGCTTGTTTGGTACACGTTGTTAATTTCTAATTTTTCGACTGTTCTTTGATTTGTTGAGGGGCCAAGATCCTTCCATTTCTATGTGTTCGATCCTGGGCCTCTTCCTGGCCACTAGGGGGCCAGGAACAGTTAGAAACGCGCACACTTAGAAATGAGCACGATGAGAAATTAACGACGTGCAGCATTTTTTCCAAGGGTCTGCAAGAGCGCGAGCGCATGTTGTTTTGAACGCTCGCGTTGCGAAATCATGCGTGCTTACACGTTTTCGTGACAGTCGATTTTGAGCTCTTTCTGGAACGGACGGTTTTTGCAGGATTCTGGCATGCGCGCAAGACGACGCGCCCTTGATAATTCCGCCTTTTTTTCGCAAGGGATTCTTGAAAAGTGATGATTTGTGATAAGCGAGTGTGCGCGCATAGTGTTTGTTGCAGAGGATGAGGGGGGAACCGTTATCCGTTTGGCTGGGATGATACAAAATCACCTTTGGGACTGGCGATTGGGCAGAATCGTATGGGAATTGCAGTACACACAGGTGACCCGTTGAGTCTCTCGGGGGGGGAGATTCTTAGATTCGTAGACCAGGGAGAAGAATGATCGGGTCATGGAGTTGAAGGGAGTGCCCAGGGACAACACTGTTTTGAAAGAGGAATTGCACAAGTATCGGATGGGATTTGTTAAAACCGAGCGCGCGCAGCGTCCAAGCGAGGGCCTTATTTTGAAACCTGTTCGCCCGCTGTCCGTGTAACTGCTGGATCTATTTTTGGCAAGCGTGCGCGTTGCTAAGGTGACCGCCCCATTTTTTAAACCATCCGCCCTCCGTCCGTGTAACTGCCGGCCTCGTGTAGGCCAAGTGTCCGCAGCACCAAAGGTCACAACTCGCTTCTAAAAAGGAACAGGCATCCATCCGTGTGACTGTTTTTTGATGAAAACGAGTGCGCGCGGCGCCGAAGCGAGAGCCCCATTTGCAAAACCATTCGCCCTTCATCCGTGCAACTGTTCGATTAGTTGAAGTCGAGTGTTTGCTGTCCGCGACGCCTAGGCGACAGACCCTTTCGGAAAGGAGCCGGCGTCCATCTATGAAGCCGCTCGACTTGTTCAGGACCAGCGGCCCCAAGGCGACATGTCATTTTCGCAGGGACCTCGCCTCCCTCCATGAAGCCGCTCGACCTGTTGAGGACGAGTGTGCGCGGCGCCGAGGTGGGACTCCTTTTTGGCAGGGAGCCCGCCTCCCTCCAGGAAGCCGCCCGACTTGTTGAAGACGAGCGCCCGCGGCGCTAAGGCGAGAGACCTCTTTCGGCAAGAATCAGGAGGGGAAAAAACACACAGACACAATGAATCGTCGATCCCCCAGAAATATGGGAAGATATGGGAAGTGGGGGGAAGACAAAGATCCAGAACAAATATGCGAACATGTAGGGATTCCGGTTTCATTGTGTGTCCCAGGGCCCCTTCAAAGAAGCCCGCAGCCACTCAGGAAGCTGCTGGACTTTTTTATAATAAGACGAGCGGTCGCGCCGCCGCGGCGAGAGCCCCGCATTGGAAACCACCCGCCCTTCATCTGCTTTAGCTGTTCGGTGATCCACCAGGAGGAAGTTTAGCACGACACCCCATGCCCATGCCCGCACCAACGACGCGACTCTTGCTGTGCGACAGGGAGGGGTCATTCAGAAATAAAAGGGGTTGCAAAAGGGGGAAGAGGAGAGTGGAGGAGGGAGAGGAGCAGGGGGACGACGAGGGAGCTGTGCCGGGTGCAGGAGTGAGAGCATGAGCGAGGGGGCACGCTCGGCGGCAGTAGGGTGCATCGAAGCCGTCCTTCGGAAGGAGGCCTACACAGCGACCAACCCCGTAATATCAGAAAGCGCTTTTCTTCGAGAACCGATTTTTCCATTCTTTGCCAAGGCGATTACTTTGGACGAGGCTGTCCAGGCAGCGATGGCCATCACGAATGGCATCACTGACCGGCCGTCATCACCATGACCACGATTTAGGCCTACCGAAAAGGAAACACGAGAAAGCTCACGGAGGAGGGCGAGGGAGGAGCGGGAGCAGGAGCAGGGATGAGTGAAAGGAGACAGTGACGACGCGGGAGAGGGGACGAGGCTGAGGACGAGGTGGGTTGAGGACGAGGACGAGACGGGGAGAGGACGGGATTGACGAGCCGAGTGCGGCAGCGCAGCAGCGCCCGCAGGCTGTCCGACATGCTGGGGCGCCTCGAGGGAAGCGTCCTCGAAGCTTTCTGCGCTGGCCTCAGCCGCGGCGTGTCGCGTGGACAAGGGGAGCAGGCACCGCGTCACTCCCGTTCGAAGGGAGGAGGAGGAGGAGCAGCAGGAGGAGGAGGAGGAGGAGGAGGAGGAGGAGGAGGATGGGGAGCAGGAGTCGGAGGAGAAAGCGGAGGAGAAGAGAATCAGGAGTGGATGCCAGAAGCGGAGAAGGAGCAGGAGTACGAGCATGAGCGCGAGAAGGAGATGGAGGAGGACGAGTCAGGGATCAGGCCGAGGCGCAACATCCGATTCGAATGAGGGCTGGCGGGCAAGGAAAAAGGTGGGGGCGCGGGATTCCCGCCGTCACGGTCCCGCAGCCCACCGCACAGGCCGAGGGCCACTAGGGCACGGGCCGTGGTGGCAAGCGGCGCACAGGCACCAGCCGCCGCCTACCACCATGGCCCGCCACACTTATAGCGAACCTCGCGACCCGCGAGAACAGCATCATGCGCCAGGACTGCACTGAAGCCCTCTCCGCAGGGCCTCGGCAGTCCGCCAAGAGGCCCCTCCAAATGGGGGCCTCAATGGATACTCGAGCACCGCAGCGGCGGCACAGCAGAAACTTGTCCGTGGCCTGCACACAATGGCCCCGATACCCGAAAGTCTCGAGATCCTGCACATGCAGGCCATCATACGTGAACCCTAGTTCACGACACGCGCGAAGGACCGCGTCACTCCGCGCCCTCGGAAGGAGGCCATTGTGACGCTCGGCCCTGACCGCCGACAGGTATAAGTGGAGCGGCGTCGGCTCGCACTTACTGCCAGGCTGCTCCAGCTTAGCACGAGAGAGCGCAGTCTTGCCAGAGCAGTGGCACCACGTACACCTCACCCCCCCACTCTCCGCCACCTCCAAGTCGTGAGCGAGCAGAGAGAGCTGAGGCACGGCCATGGGGTTACGGCCTGGCCTCGAGGACATGGAAGGGGGTCCGGCCTGAGACGCAACACACTGAGCGATCTGGCCCAGAAAACGGCACGTCTTTTTCACGTCTTTCAGCTGAGCTTTCAGAGTGTCGGTGGCGATGCTGGCTACAGCGTGCCGCTTCGCTCCCAACTTAGCAAAAAAGTCAGCCCACATATTGCCCAGATAATCGAAAACCGCCGTGTCCACGGATCGATCCAGGCTCGGAGTACGCTCACCAAAGAGGAGGGAGTCGAGATCTCCGTGGGCAGGAGTCCAGCGGGCCCGTGGCCTATCATCAGACGGGGCTCCTGCTGGGCACACCTGAAACATCTCGCGCCAAATGCACGCATGCTTATGGCTGGCTTCGGCCAGATCGGCTGACCATGCAGTGGCTTCATGCACCGCCGAGAGGTGATCACTTACAATTTCCACACTTCTCGGGCCCAGGCGAACCGCCTGCAGCATCGCGTACCTCTCGGCCCTGGGCACAGTTTGGATGGCCCCTGGGAGGGGCCCAAAACAAGCCCGAATGGGCCAGCCCACAGGACGAAGCTCGACAACAGCCCACCCGCAGCGACACGCTTCGGGTAGACCGTTCGAAAGGCCAGAGCCATCCGTAAAAAGTTGAAAGCCCCACGGCATGCTCGTGGCACCCCAAACCTGGGGAGGATATCTGGCTGGGTCAGGCTCAATGCTAAGGGGAAGAAGAGGAACACCGTACGCCAACTCAAGAGTGTCGAAGTCGGGGGGGGGGGGATTCCTTTAGCCTTGTTCCGCAGCCATTTTACATGCTCAAGCACATCGTCTGGGAGCATGGATGCCTCTTCTGGGTCCTGACCAGGCTCCCAAACTTTTTTGCATTCGTACCACTGATGGCCGAAAGAGCCAATCGCATCACACCCGAATTCACACTTAGGACTGGCTGCGTAGCCATGTTTGTGCTTCTTGGCTGGCGGCCAAAGCTTACCACTGATCAGGCCTCTCAAGGCCGCCTGCCTAGGGTCCTTCACAGCAAGAATTCCTAATCGGAGAGCTCGCCCCCAGACAGGTTCATCACCGCCAGCCTCGGGGATAGCCTCCAAAATCTGTCGCACTTGGGCACGGCTAATGCCTTCGCGCAGCCTCTGCTTGACGTCCCAGGGGCAAGTGGTGAAAAGCGAGATAATTTCACACTGGTCAGTCCGGAGCTGATGGTGAGAAATCAGATCCCGGCCAACTCTCCTCAAAGATAAAATGACCGCCCCGACAGGTCCCTGCACACGATTCCAATGGGGGCGATCTCTTAAACGGGCCTGAGCAGTCGAACAAGCCACTCTCAAATCAGAATCGGACGCTCTACGATCCCAGACCCAGCAGCAATACCTGAACACTAGCGGGATCCTAGCATCAACGATGGGGTCAAAGCTGGGATCCTTATGAGTGAACAAGAACCCCGTGACGTGAGACGCTCCACCCGCTCCCATAAGGCTCCCAGCTAAGGCCCTGAGGGTTCTGAGCGTATTATTGTTAACACCTTAAACTGAGGCCCCGTGGCCTCCACTTGGCATGAGGCCTGTGCGCCACAAGCCAGCAACCTTGGTCCCAGCAGATTTCTTAAGCACCTGGATGCGGCGCTTCCTCCTGACCAGCGCAACTCGCCTCTTGGCTTCCACCTTTCGGAGAGCACGCCGCCCAAACAAATCGTGACCAAGGTTTCGCATATGCTCATGGCCTCGCATGCCCATCAGCTTGGCCGACACTGCCACATGCTTGGAAGCGGCCAGGCCGGTGGCAACAAACCCTGACTTGTTGGGTTGCAGAAGAAGGCCAATCGGACGCACAAGAGAGCATAATTCCCGAGCCGCAGCAAGGGCCACCGCTCCTTTCTCAGGGTCGGGTTCAGCCCAGTGCAAGGAAACATCATCCATTAAAGTTCTAGCTTGGACTGGAAATCTTTCAATTGCAAACTTCACTGGCTGCAGAAGCACAGCCAACATAATCGATGTCGCTGCCGAGCATCCAGCTAAAATCCCCTGGAACGACACAAATGGCTCCGAAAGCGAGCCGAACGCATCGATTCTCCGAGGGGCCAGGTAGGTCTGAATGACCATCCACCCGAGACGGAGCGGGAAACCAACCTGCCGAAAAATCTGAAACAGGACCGAGAGCTTTATCATCTCATAGCATTTCTCCATGTCGAGCAATAGGGTGACTGGGTGCCATCCTCTGGCGCGGGCAACTTCCGCAGAAAGGTTTAAATCGAACGCTGAGTCCGATGAGCTTCTCCCCTTCCCAGTCCCCCAAAACTCCCGAGTACGACTCCCCGCCTCCCAATCATCAGTAACGGAACGTCTAATGCGTCCCCACACTCGTAAGATAGTGTCTAGGATAGCAATTAATATGTGGCCGCCGTCTGGTTTTGGCAACCCGACAAGCCGGCTTGCGAATCGCTTGCTTGGCCAAACAAGAGCCTTCTCGCACTGCAGCAGAAGCGACGACAGAACAGCTAGCATCGCATCCGACAGGTACTGGAGCGAACGAGGGTGGATCTTGCGACAGCCCACCGCCGTCTTCGGGGGAAATCTCGAAATCGCTCTCCTCAAATCGTCGACCCCGATCGGCGGCAGACTCGCCCAATCCTTCGAATCGCTCGGCAACTGCAAATCTTCGCAAGAGTGAGTGGTCCAAATGTGGGACCATTCACGACGCGCGTCGTCGGCAAGCTCGAAATGTTGGATCCGATGCTCTTCGGTGAGCACCTTTTGGATTCCACGAACCCTGGTAAATCGGTGGGCAGCCTTGGCCCCATCCAGAAAGGCATCCCTGACCCAGGATTTCCAGGCTTCCTCTTTGCTGGCCAGAAAAACGGCCTCCTTTTCCTGGGCCAGGGTCAGAACTCGTTCAAGCAAATCGGGCGTGGACGCATCACCTATCACAGCCACTCCAGACCTGAAAAAACCGGCCGTCAGCTCGTCGAGGTGCGCGTGCACCCAGTCGTGCCTCTGGATCCTGCCAAGGAACGCCGCAGTGTCGAGCAACACCTTGGCAACCCTCTGCATCCTCCTCGGCTGCTCGTCGATGTCCGAGTCCAGATTGGGAATGTACGACTCGAGAACAATATGCACACTTCGCAAGTGCCTGGCCCACCTGGCCGCGGCACTCCACGCTGCATACTCACAAGAGGGACGAGGCTGCCGATGCTGAGGGACTGCGCGGAGCTTTTTCCATCTAACTTGATGCTCTCCAGCCTGGCCTTCATAGCCGTGACGGAGAGGTCCAACAACATCATGTCGGTCGAGCAGCCCAGCCTCTATGCCCTGGATGGTGAGGTCCAAAAAGTGAGCCATCTGCTCGGCATTCTCAGCGTGCTGAACGTCTTGATGAAACTTCTGCCAGTCACGAGGATAACGACCACAACCAGGCCGAGCCAAGACAGGGAGAGCTTTAGGTAGGTCCGCAACACGGCACCACAGCACGGTGTCCTTGGCGTGAACCTGCATGAGCACGGGCCTGTGAGACCAGAGCGTAGCCGTATCCACAACCTCAACCATCCCAGACCGAATGGCAAAGCCTTCAGACATGATGAAGTAGTCAATTGTCGTACCTGGCGTGCTCTGGATGCATGTGGGCGCAGACGGCGCCACCAGCACTCCACCTATTGAAGTCGCCCACGGCTGCAGCAGAGCACGATCCATGTTATAATCAGCTGCAACTATCCACTCATATCCAAGCGCTTTAACGCGAAGCAAGTACTGAGCTAAAGTTGTGAGCAGCGACATGTTCTTCTGCCCCATTTCCTCGTTGACGTGAAGATACGCCGAAACCGCCACGAAGCCGCTCTTGAACCACGTGTGGACGGTCGCCGCTACGATCCTCTCGTCCAGCAGCACGCCCTTGGTGTCAGCAAGCATGGGACCTGCCGCCGCCCGCACTCGCTTGGGCGCAAGCACCGCCACGCCACCACTGGTGCCGTGCCCTTGGCCAGTCTCCCTGGCCGGGGCCCACGCTCCATGGTAACCTACCGCATCCATGCGGCTTTGAAACGCTCCCAACGTCTCTGCTGTGACACGATGTTCCTGAACACACAAGATAGGCTTCTCATCACCCAGCACAGGAGCATCTGCCTCAAACATCTCAGCCA